AATAACCACCTGTTGTAGGTTACAGCTCCTACTGACTCCTCAGTACCAATACCTCATCTACTAACCACTAACTGTCATACAACTCATGCCTCCACTAATAACCACCTGTTGTAGGTTACAGCTCCTACTGACTCCTCAGTACCAATACCTCATCTTCTAACCACTAACTGTCATGCAACTCATGCCTCCACTAATAACCACCTGTTGTAGGTTACAGCTCCTACTGACTCCTCAGTACCCATACCTCATCTTCTAACCACTAACTGTCATGCAACTCATGCCTCCACTAATAACCACCTGTTGTAGGTTACAGCTCCTACTGACTCCTCAGTACCGATACCTCATCTTCTAACCACTAACTGTCATGCAACTTATGCCTCCACCAATAACCACCTGTTGTAGGTTACAGCTCTCACTGTCTCCTTGGTACCCATACCTCATCTTCTAACCACTAACTGTCATGCAACTCATGACTCCACCAATAACCACCTGTTGTAGGTTACAGCTCCTACTGACTCCTCAGTACCAATACCTCATCTACTAACCACTAACTGTCATGCAACTTATGCCTCCACCAATAACCACCTGTTGTAGGTTACCAATATAAACCTTTTCATTCAGTTTAGTTTCATTCCAGGGACTGTATCATATCCAGTATAGGAAATTAACCTTTAATAAGGTCAAGGTCGAAAGGACCAATGAAGTTCAATTATTTCATATTTTTACCAAAATACTTACGAAAAATGGTGCAAACAATATTTTTGGAGAAAAATTGTGGCATTCAAAGGGTTAGCACATTGCCTGCTGAAAGCATCTATGGATAGCCAAAATGAATGAGGAAAAAAAAACGACGCCACCAAGCGAGTTGTTAAACTCGTCTTCTCAATAATCATTGACAAAAAAACATATAGGTGTATGTGTTAAAATTTGAGAGAGATGCATATAGTAGCCAGAACCTTGGAGGATGTGTTATCAAGATAAGTATAATGATCACTGAAAGTTAATGATTACTGTACGTAATTGTTTTATATACTTCATTGTATAAGCAGCTGCATACACACTTGCCCATCACCACTCGTGTGTAGCCCATTACACTGACACGTGATTTGTACACAGTGTGTAAATCAGTCTTTTTAGAGTGAAAATTGTATTGCAGATAGAACAATGTAATGCCAATATTTGACCTTTGGATTCACAAAATAGAAGCTTACAAAAGTAACATGAGCTGTCTTGAAAAGACGCTTAGAAAGGATGAGATTTCCAAAAAATTAGGTCCTGCGGTATCGTTTTGTATTCTAAGACTTGTAGTGTTGTCATTTTCCTTTAAATCTTCATAGTTTCTTGCATTGAAAATGACTGCCCAGGGGAAGCAGAATACAGTTTCTATGGCAACAAGGCAGGGAGAGTAGATTATTATATCATTTTAAATAACAACCTCCGGTCTAAATACTGGTAAAAACAAGTCATTGTCATATGAATAAAGATATAGTCAACACAGAAATAAAATGCTGTGAATTTCTACAACGCCTGCTGACGCTGTTTTTTTTTTCTATTCATTTATCCATGGAAACATTTAGTAGTTGATGTGTTAGAGTCACACATTAGATCCTATACATGAAGATGTATATGACAGAATTAAGAATGATGGGTAAAGTTTGAATGTAACAAGCCATGCATGGCACAGTCCCCGTTAGTTATCAAATTTAAGATATATAGTTTTGTTTATAGTAATATAACTGGAATATAACCATATCAGGAATATGATTTTTTAACATTAAAATGATTGACATTTGTATCTGATCGTCAAACAAGTACTTGTCCATATTGAGAGATATTGCTCTGGAACAGCATTCAAAATCAGCCATTTTGAATACATGTATATATATAACATGATGTATAACGAATATATAAAATTTGAATATAATCAGTCAAAGCATTTAAGAGATATGGCTCTAGAAGCCCAATCATTAAAACAAAATGGCCACCAGTCAGCCATTTTAAATCCAATCTGAAAAATAAAGTCACGTGCATCAGGAACCCATAATGTCTAATGTATGTACCAAGTTTGAACGAAATCCATCCATAAATGCTTGATATTTGATGATTTTTTAGCACAAAAATGACCACCATTCGACCATTTTGAATAGGATCGTCAAACCAATATATCTGTTTGTCTATGACATGATGTGTAATGAATATTTAAAATTTGAATATAATCAGTCAAAACAAGTTGGAAGTTTTGGCTCTAGAAGCCCATTCATTAAAACAAAATGGCCGGCAGACAGCTATTTTGAATCCGATCTGAAAAATAAATGATGTGCATTAGGAACCTGTAATGTCTATTATATGTACCAAGTTTGAACGAAATCCATCTATAAATGCCAGAAATGCTTGATATTTGATGATTTTTTAGCACAAAAATGGCCACCATTTGGCCATTTTTAATTGGATCGTCAAACCAATATATCTGTCTATCTATCACATGATGTATAATGAATATTTAAAATTTGAACATAATCAGTGAAAGCAAGTCAGAGATATGGCACGAGAACAAAATTCATTAAAACAAAATGGCTGCTAGTCGGCCATTTTGAATCTTATTTGAAAAACAAAATTATTTGCATCAAGGTCCCATAATGTCTAATGTATATACCAAGTTTGAACAAAATTCATCTGTAAACAGCCGAGAAATGCTTGATTCTTAGGATT